CTGCAGGCAGCACCTCCTCCAGACAGACTGCTTCAACCTACCATCTATGTAAATGCCATCCTCCATGGTCCCATAGTTTTCAGAGCTTTTCTCAACCATGACTCTAGTTTTTCTCTGTTGTAAACATTTATTTGGCTGACTCTCCCCTGTCCCCCCTTGAAAATGAGTGACTAGAAAGCTGAGTCTCTATCTTACTTTCCTTTGTAAATATACTACATAATCTCAGCAAACCGCTTAGCACTTGCTTGGGGTAAAATAAACTCTTATTTAATGTCAATTGAATGAATTTGTAAATAAACTTTGTATCCATGGTGTTCATTCTATTAAAATCAACTAACAGAGTTAATTTTTAGGTGAATAAACCTGTAAGTGAAGTTTATTATGGACAGAACATATAGACATCGTAAAAATTCAAAAGCAAAGGTTATACCAATGAAAAAATAATTTTTTTCCCCACTTTAGGTCCCTAATTCTACTTCCCAGGGATGGTTACCCTCAGCAGTTTTTGTGTGTCATTACTCTAATTTTCCACATATATAATCTATACATGTATTAAATAATCTCTTAAAAATATCATAAATGGTAGCATACTGTAACATTGTTCTGCCCTTGATTTTCACACTTAATGTGTCATGGCTGTTTTTTCCTATCAACAAAACTGGTCTGCTGTTTGAAAGCAGCCCCACAGTATTCAATTGTAGAAATTGTACCATATTTAGTTTCGCTGACCTTTGTAAACGGGCTTTTCATTTGTTTGTAACTTGTTTGTTGATTTTGACTATTACAATATTTGCCACAGTGACCATTCTTGTATGTTTATTTTTGCTTTTCTATTTATCTAGGATAAATTCCTAGAAATAGAATTTCTATGTATTTTATGTATTTTATGAAATACATAAAATTTTATGTATTTTGAATTTTAAATACATAGAAATTTTATGTATTTTGAATTTTAAAACGTAACTCCATACAAAGGTGGTAGAGGAAAGAAATTTCATGGAGGGCTGACACTGAACTCCATTCCTGAATTTTCCCTTTCACCTTTGCAGAGGATGTATGGCCTTTAGTTGCCCTTCCAAATTTTGGGGGTCATGTGGTGCTTGGTGGGAGTAAGGCCCTGCTACAAGAAAAAAGGGGGTTGGCATTCTCTCCCTGCCTCTTGGCAATGCTGCTGCTGGGCACTGGGGTTTAGGATCTGAGGACTGTAGAATAAAGGCATGAGGATGATTGGAAGATGGGGTGCTGAGAACCCCCTTCTCCAGCCAATCAGACCCCTTTGTCGTGCCTTTGCTTTGGCCTCTGCCAGGAATGGTGGGACCACCTTTACACCCAGGGGAGCCCCTACCACCTTTCTTAACTTACCTTAAATACCATCTCCTCCACGAAGCTCTTCTGTACTTTGATCCAGGACCGTTCATTCATAACTTGATGCATTCAACGTCCAGGTTTGTACTAACTTGGATTGCTGCCTTCATTCTGTGTTATGGCGCTGCTCCACAGAACTGCGATTAACTGCCTGGGTGCCAGAGATAAACCACCTGGGTTCAAACCCCAGCTTTATCACTGGCTCCAGGACAAAGCAGAGCTGCTGGGTGGAAAGAGAGCTGGGGCTCGGGTCCCATGCACTTGGCCTTCCTTTCTCGGGGCAGCAGCTCTTGGCAGGTTGCCACGTGGAACCCGGGGCGTTCTGGAAAGTACAGGGTGCAAACTACTGATCTACTTCACTCACCCCTTCCCATATATACATGAGGGATGTGTGGCCCCTGGAGGTTTGGTGACCTGCCCAAGGACACGTAACAAAGGCCCAGCTGGACCACAAAGCCTGGGTCTCTTTGCATCTAATGGAATATTCACTCCAATGCATTATGAGCTCCTTGGAGCAAAGTGGGGAGGGAAAAAGGGTCTAAATTCCTGTTCAGTGATCTGAGCAGCGTTCACTCGTGCATTCACTGGTCGCTTATGTTGCTGTAGGCACTGGGTGCAGCAGTGGTGACGTGGGTACGGTCTCTGCTTACAGTGTAGTGAGGTGACGGAGAATAAACAATTATTCACATATGTAAATATGTGTTTATAGATTGGGATATGGACAAGAGCAAGGTTGGGGGTGGAGACCTCTGCCATGGTTCTGCCATCGTGGTCTTTCTCTTGTGGGGAATGCTGTGTTCTCAGTGGCTCTGGGGATCAAGCTGTGGGTGGAGATGGGGTGGGGTGGGGACTACTCACTGCTGCCAAGAACTTGGAGCACCAGGCCTGAAGAAGGGTAGGTAAGAGCCCACCAGCTCACACCATTCACCATTCAGAGTCTTGTTGGGGTATAAAAAACAAAGTGGGGCTTGAAACCGTACAGGATAAAGCCATTACACAGATTCAGGGACACATTGCTATAACACCATTCTTAAGCTCCAATTTAGGAATTTTATGAGCTCTAAAGTGACTGTATAATTTCAGGCATGCCCTTAATTAATTATTCTGCATGCAGGGCAATTCTGAGAATTTTTGCCAAACCTGGATATAAGCAAAGGGCTGAGGGCATTAGCATTGGAAAGACGGGAGGCAGGGAGAGGGTATAGAAAGAAAGATGGGGATGGAAGGAAGGGAGGAAGCTGAGACCAGGCAGAGAGGCCATCTGGTCTCTTATCAAGTGTCCAGTATATACCAGGCACTGGGAGAGGCTCTGTCTATACAAAGAGAGAGTGAAAGAGAGCTGTTATTCCTTTACTAGTATAAATAGTGAGGACTTTTTGCCGGGGAATGGAAGATATTGACCCAGATATTGACACTTGACCATGGCATCTGCCAAGTTCAGAGGGGCCTTTTTCTTCTGATCTGCCAGCCTTGCCTTAAAGCAAAAAAAATGGAGTTCATCATATTCACTCATGGATTTTATTTTTCATGGACAACTATTGGGCAATGACCTGGCACATGGCTAGGCAATGGTGATCCAGAGACCACGTCCCTGACTTTGAGAAGGACCCTGCTCAGTGGGAGACAGAATGCACCCCAACACTATCTGTTTGGTGGGGATGAAGGGGTTGGAGTGAAGTAACTAGAATCCTAAATAGTACTGTGGGTCTGGGAGTGCTTTCCAATAATCTCTTTTACAAGTGTTAATTTATCCCATGAGAAGGGTAACTGAACTCTTAGTTTCTTTGCTTTGGCTAGAATTAAATCAATGCAGAGTGTTGAACGCTGGTCAGGGCCTTCAGCTGGCTGTTGATGACATTCTAGGCACTTTTGAAATACGATTAGCAGATCAGAACCATGGTAGACATGGGCTCAAAGCGCACATATCCGGTTGCAGAGACTACACACACACACACACACACACACACACACACACACACACACACACAACCTTGATTAGTAAGAAGTGGGGAAATGTATTTGTTATTACTCAATAAGTGCAATTTGTTTGTTAGACAAAATCTTTCAAAACACGAAGTCCAAAGGGAACAATTATGAAAGGGGCCCTTGAGAATGAAAAGTGTGGGAACTGCTGGTGTGGTCCAGTCATCTGATGGAAAACTTGATTCTTAATATCTCCACCAAGTGATCAGCCTCTGTTTGCCTTCTTCCAGTGACGGAGCTCACGACTCTTTGAGGCAGGTTAGATGGCTCACCTGGGTTCAAGGGCCTTAGTTTTACACCCCTTCCCCCACCATCACGATTCAGTTTCTACAATGCCCAATTTTCCTCTCGGCTCTATTGATTATTGGCTGTGTGTTTTGGGCAACTTAGTGACATGCTTTGATTCTCAAAATTGTCATTTTTATGATGAAGGGAGTAGAGCCTGTTGGGGTGTGGTAGAGAATGCTAAAGTTCACCCCCATTCAGTTCTCCTCTCCTCTCTGGGCACATGAATAAGTGACATTTCCCAGCATCCTTTGCATCTAAGAGGTGCCAAGTGACTTACTTTGCCCAGTGGAGTATGGGTGGATGTGATCTATGACATTTCCATGCCTGGCTGTTGACACTGTAAAATATCCCGTAGCCTGATTGGTTTTCCAGCCTTTCCCCATCTCTCATGGCTGCATGATTCCAGGTTGACTTGGAAGTCACATAACGGAGAACACAATCTGAAAGCAAGTGGAGTTCATGAGTCACTCTTTTACAGCAGGGGCCCCTTGACCAAACGCACCTCAACTCACCACAGAGATGCTGAAAGGTGGGGTGGATGATGGCAGAAATGCAACGTTCGTAGTGTGAAGACGCTGAGATTTGGGGGTTGTTTGTAAAAGCTGTCAGTATCAATTATCCTGAGAGGCCAAAAATAACACTGATTCCTCCCTGAGGCCAGAACCAAAAGAGAGGTGGAGATAAAAATATCGACTTTTTAACTGATAAAAGTCGTGTTGAAGGATGTGGCACAGATGTGTCATCAAAATGAATGCACATTGTAATGCTGCTTCCTAGAGTTAGACAGAGTTGTCTGCCCCATCTATGGAAAATCTGGACATGCCAGGGTTCCCCCCCCCCCCATGGACATGATCCTACTGGCAGATACTAAGGCAGATCCTAAAGAGAGAGAACCCACAAGGGTTTATCTCTTGCTTCTCTTGAACTCGCTGATCAGATAAATACCTCTACCACTTATGCAAGTGAGTCTCATGGAAAAATGAGGCAGGAAGTGTTGCCCTGAAAAAGGTCCCTCCACATGGAGATGTGAGGCCAGGAAACCAAGGTTCCCACCAAGGTTCTTCCCAGACATAAGAGTCTGCGAGTACCCATGATTGTAAGCTCCCTGAAGGCAGGCACCACATCTTTTATTCCTTGTGCCTCTTCTCACAGACCCTAGCACAGTGCTAGGCACAGAGATAGCATTGAATAAATGCTTGCCAAATGACCGATGACACTTTGTGAGCTTATGTGACATTTCCCCCACTAGGTCACTCCAGAAAGAGCAGAAATTGCTGTGGTTTGACCCCTCACACTGCCAGTCCTTGCCTAACTCAACAATTTGGGAGTGTGAAAGGCTAAGCTGATGACCCAATCCTTCCTTGGGGAGATACCAGTGCTCTCCTTCTGCCCACCAAATCCCACGCTGGGCAAGACACTTGACTCTGAGAGTTTCTGGCCAGCCCACTGCCCTGGGGGAGGCACTGAGTATGTCTGAATGCCATTGTTGGTTGTAAATTCCTGAGTCAGGGACTGAATCTTACTTATGGTATCACTTGAGAAGTACCTTCTGCAGGTAGTGACTGAAAAAAAGAAGGGTTTATTTTTCTCTCTGCTGAAAGATGTCCGGGGTAAGGATACACCCTGGAATGACAGCTGTGTGATCACTGATACCCCAGGTTCCTTTGATTTGTCTGCTTTACCATCCTCAGTTCATGGCTCCCATCCTCCAGGTTGACTTACGGTTGTAAAATGACCATGGCAGTCCCAGCCCTTATATAAGTCCATATTCCAGGTAGCAAGGAGGAGGGGGCAGAAAGGAATATAAGGTCCCCCAGCTGAGTGCACTCATCCTCTTTAGGAGTTTTCCTGGAGATACCCGACAACCAAGAATGCCTATGCCACGCTAGCCAGAATATAGCCAATGGCTACATCCCTCTACAAGGGTGCTTGGGACATTGAGGTTTCAACTGGTTCCATTGTTTCTCCTTCAAAAGGAGAATTGTGTTATAAAGGGCGAAAGTGAGGGCTGATAATGGCAGGCAACCCAGAGCATCTGCCTCACCTGTCCCTATCCCCTGGGATCACACGAAAGGTATGTATATGTTCCATTCATCTGTTAATTGTTTCCAAAAAAAAATTCACTGAGTACCTACTCAGGGCAGGCATGTGCCTCCACATTAGGGAGAGAAACAATTCAAAATAGACAAACAAAAGAATAATACAATGTTAGATAATTATACATACTAAAGCAAAATAAAGCAGGGCAGGGGTCGGGGTGGCGAACAATGTGAGATTGGTGGTCAAGAGTGGCGTTTCAGAGGTGATGCAGAAATCTGAAAGAAACAAGGAAGTAAGACATGCAGGGTTCTGGGGGAGCAATGTTCCCAGTAGAAACCCCGGTGTGGACGGATACTTGGCACGTTCCAGAACATACAGCCAGCCCGGAGCAGTAGTTAGTATAGTAGCCAGGCCAGGTTTGACCTCGTAGGCTGTGCTAGGGACTTTGAAATTTCCCTCAAGAGTGAGGGAAGCTGTTGGAGACTGAGCAAGGGATGGATATGTTAAATTCAAATTCTCTCTTGCATTTTCTTCTGACCACACAATTAGACATATGTTAGACCCTCTCATTGTATCCACCATGATTTTTTTTTTCTCTCTGTCATACAGTGTGGATAATTTTCTTTAGATTTGTTTTCACAGCAATGTACTGGGTTTCTAATTTTGATTATTATATGTTCTCATTTCTAGAAGTCCCTATTTTTTTCCCCAAACATGTCTGGTTGGTTCTTCTTCCCTTAATCATACTCTCAATTCTCACTTGTATTTCATTATGTACATGATTGCTTTATATGTTTTATTTATTAATTGCAACATCTGCAGTCTTTGTGGGGCCGATGCCATAGCTAGTTGATTGTGCTGATTCTCACTTATGAGCGTTTATTTATTTGTGTGTTTATGATTCCGGGTTGTGAGCTTATGTTCCTTGGAACAATAAGCTTTGCTTTAAAGTGTAACCTCCAGGTAATATTCGGGGTGTGTTTCTGCCAGGTGCCCAGGTCTACTTGGGTTGATTGGGCCACAGAGGAGATATTCACAATGGCCCCAAACACTGTGACCTTGGGCTTGTGGTTAGGAATTCTCAAGAGAATAGTTTTTTTCTTTATTTCTGCTTCACCCGGAGCCGAAGCTAGACCAGCAAGTTTCATTCTGTGGACTGACTTTCTATTCCTCATTCACCCACTGAGGTTGTCATTCTTCGGGGTTCTGACTTTTAATGGAAATTTCCAGTCTGAGCGCCCACCTTGCTTGCTGGGGTAGGGCCCCAGCTCTTGTCTCCTGCTTCCTGCCCATGTCACACCCCGCCCCTCTCCCCCCCACTCCCCGGCAAGGCACAAGATCCATTAAGACCTTGTCTCTTTGCTACTGGGGATCACTCCCACTCTGAGCACATGTCAGCTCCACTGTTGGCTCACCCCTGTGGATTCAAGCTTTTTTGTTGTTTCTGACCTTTCAGGGATTCCTCTGCTCTATTGTTAACTTAGCCATTCACTAAGGAATATGTTTCCAAAAAGACTTTACCCATTATTTTTATTTGTGCTAAACCGGGTGGGTTTCTGTTGTATTTTAGGAAAAAAATCACACGACCACTTTTACATTTTAGGAAGACCGTCTGGCTGTTGGGAGAAGAGCAGATTGTAAGGGGGACGATCTCACCCTGGGAGAGCATTTAGGACACTATTGTTGCCGTGGTCCAGGCACAGGACACGATGCCTTGGACTGGGACATAGGGGGTGCAGTGAAAAGAAGTCGGTTTAGAGTTATATTTTGAAGTTGCTGATGATAAGACTTGCTGATGGTCTGGATATGGGGTGTGAGAAAAAGAGAGAAGTTGAAGGTGATTCCAAACATCTTGGCCTAAGTGTCTGAGTTCAGGGGACATCCCAGGGAATGAGGCGGCTGTGGAGGGAAGTGGCCGAAGCCCTTTTTCTAGGCTCTGATCATCCCTGGGGAAGCTGAACAGTGAGCCTCGAGATCCACAGAGATGGCGATCAAATCTTGAAGTGTAGAGAGGCTGCTGAGGTCTGAAAATCAGTCTCCACTGTATCACTTCAGTTAGGTTGCCCCCTTTCCTTGTCATCCAGGCTTCAATATAAACTAAAAAAAAAAGTTCTGGGTAGGGTGGGGTACAAGTGCCCTCCCGCTTAAGGATGTACACAGACTGCAAATTAAACCAAGCACCATGGCTGGATACGTAATAACCAAAACGTGATATATATACCGGGGCTGCCAAAACAATGTGTACAAGTGGCCACTTTGGTCAACGTTGCTCAAGCAGTAGTTCGCCATAATCAGAAGTGTCTGGACGCTGATGGGAACCGCTTTGAGCACCTCTTGTAATTGCTGAAGTCAAATGTGGCTTGTATTCATCTTTTGTTATTAGTATATGTTATTACAATTTTAATACAGTTTTCCTTTCTTAAAATGTGGGTACATTTTTTTGCCCCCTCTCTCCCCCTGGTGTGTGTGTGTGTGTGTGTGTGTGTGTGTGTGTGTGTGTGTGTGTGTGTGTGTATATATATATATATATATATATAAAATGAAATATTATTCAGCCTTAAAAAGGGAGGGAATGTTATACCATGCTACCACAGAATGAGCCTTGAGAGATTTATGCTGAGTGAAACTAGCCAGATACAAAATGACAAATACTGTATGATTCCGTGTATAGTAGGTTCCTGGAGTAGCCAAACTCATTGTGACAGAAAGTAGAACAGAGGTTTCCAGGGGTTTAGGGAAGGGGTGAATGGGAAATTAGTGTTAAATGGGTACAGAGTTTCAGTTTGGGACAATGAAAAAGTTCTGGAGATGGATGGCAGAACAACACGAATGTACTTAATACCACTGAACTGTACACTTACAAATGGTAAAATAAAAAAGAAAAAATCAAACCAAGTAAACCAGTATCATAAAGCCGTCAGCTTTGAATTTTGTCTACTGATGGCATGAAAAACCAAAGTCCAATTTGTTATAACCATTGTGTCATGTGAAGAAAGGATATTTTTAAACCTCAAGAAAATAAGACAGATGTGTTCTCAAGGCACATAATTCTTTGAATGGAACAGTGTTAGATTTATAGAAAGCTAAATAATAAAATACATTACTCATTTCTTTTGCATTCCTTAATGGACTGTGTGGTCAGTGTCTCCAGAGCCCTGAAATGGCTGGGTGACTCCTTGTTGGGGAGAGTCAGGAGGACTCGTGGATCAGATGGGTGAGTTGGATTTAAGCCTCTTCAAATATATTTGCTCAGGTGGATGGATGGATGATTGTCAGGTGGGCTACAACTGGGGTGACCACATGAGACTACGCCATTGTACTCAAAACTTCTCTGGTTTGGGTGCTAAATGGTATGGTCGCCTGGCTATTGCCTCCTGGGCAGGTGAACCACCTGGGCAGG